ATGTGCTGGATTTTCCTACTTAATTAGAGAGCTGGATTAAATGACGAAGTTGGTTCCATCCAACTCTGATTTAATAATATAGAGCTAAACTCACACATAAGTGCATTCTCTGTATTCTCTGGGCTTTGTAAACTTTGTTGGCTCTAATTTATTACACCCATATTCTGCTCCTAAGTTATGCATACTTACCTAGATAATTTATCCATCATTTCTATAATCTCTGATTTTATTGCAATTTATGCAGACCAACAGGGAATTGCTGCTGTTAATTCATAGTTTACATTTTGAAGTGGTAGTGAACACTCTTTTTTCATCATGTGGTTTTGACCCATTGTAGAACAGAGATGGGGCACCTTTTTCAGCAGCTGAGGGCCAAAGGAGACATGGTTGTCCAGGGCAGATAGTTTTGGCCCTTTTTCTCTTTGGGGAGATTTGTTTTCCCTTAATCTAAATAGGTGCATTAAGTTTAACAGTAAGTTAATATGCTGATTTTACCTGCTATCCCTCCTTGTCCACACACACAAATCAAAGCAACATTATTCAGTGGTTTCTGCTGAGTTTCTGAGGCATAATTTTATGGGCTCCCCGGTAGAAAAGGGGTGGCTTGAATTGTGGGCTAGTCCTTGGATGGTCATGGGCTAAATTTTCATTCAATCACCTGTTGACAAAGGGCAGTTTGCTCCAGCAGCAGTTTTTCTCAATGGATAAGGGAGGGTCCTCCTTTTCCCTGCTGTCTCATCTTTCCTAAATATTCTTCTAGATGAAGATTGTGAGAGGTGACATGGAGGACTGCAGGACAAAAGCAGGAATGGGCAAAACTCCTCAGAATATTTATATGGCAGTGGGATGGAGTAGTTGCTAACCCTAACTTCTGGTACCAGTAGTACCCAGTACCATTTTTCAGAGTTACCCAGATGATATTGGGGTATAATTAGTTACAGATGGGAGGAACAAAGTACAAACAGGTTCACTGGATGAATTTGCAGGACTTTTAACAGATAAGGTAAATGTATCCAGTCCTGGCTTGATGCCAGTTGGGCAGAATCCACAATGACGTATGAAGTAGTGCCTTTTGGCATTACCTGCAATTCTTTTGCACTTGAACAGCTCAAGGAAATGGATAAGATTCTCTATGGCATGAACCCTACCACCTGTGGGCTAAAATCTATGTCTTTCTTGGCTCTTTTGGACAGCCAGGGGATCATGGGTAGCTGGATCCAGGAAGCTATCAACAGTTTTATGAGGGAGGAAGTAATGCTGTCCTCTCTTGAAGTAGCTGTCTGGGAAGCTGTCTGGGATCCAGCTATTTTTCACTTTTGCCCTGTGCCGTATCTCCCTTTTGTAGGAAGGTTGTGGATAAAGTGGTATTCACCTGGATAGGAACTTAGAAGAAATAGATTGTCTAGATCTTTGCCAGTTAGCTTGATGAGTTTCATCAAATCTTAGAACCCTACAAGACCTCTCGGCAGCATTTGAAACAATTGACCATGGTATCTTGCTGGTCATTTACAAGGCTGCACCATTTTATCGTGATTCCATTCCAGTAATCAGTAATCACTCCAAGAACTTCAATGCTGCTCCAGTTTGGGGTTCTGCAGAGCTTTATGCTCTCTACTTTGTTATTTAATGTTTATACAAAGCCACTGACAGAACTCATCCATTGGTTCTGGGTGAAGTGCCATTGGTACACTGATGACTCCAATTATACATTGCCATCCTAGGCTATGCAACAGATGCTGAAGAAAGCCTGAACCAGTGTCTGAAAGGTTTCAGGGTCTGGATGGGGTGAAATAAGCTCACATTAAATCCTATCAAGACAGAACTTTGTTTTATCAATAAACATTGGGGCAATCCAGTAATGCTGGGCCCATAAGTTACTTTATATGAAGCCATACTTCACCTGAAGTAGTTGTTTCTGGATTATTATTTTGGCCCTGATTGAGTGCTTGATTGTGGATGTTCCCTTTTGGCAGGTATATTATTCATTCATTCATTCATTCATTCATTCATTCATTCATTCATTCATTCATTCATTCTAACTTGCTTGTTGTACATAGCCCAGCATCTCACAACTGGGATGGTCTATAAATATTGTAAATTAATGAATTAATTAGATAAATATGTCTGCATCCAAGGCATACATCTAGTGTAGTGGTTAAGGGATCAGGCTAGAAACCAGGAGTTCTAGTCCTGCCTTAGGCACAAAGCCAGTCACCTTGGGCCGGTCACTCTCTCTCAGCCCTAGGAAGGAGGCAATGACAAACCACTTCTGAAATCTTGCCAAGAAAACTGCAGAACTTGTCTAGGCAGTTGCCAGGAGTCAACACTGACTTGAAGGCACACACACACACATACACACATAGATGGAACTATTGAAAGCATATTTACAGAGGAATCCTAAATGAATTTAGACAGGGAGCATCATGTCAGATCTATTACTTAATCAACACACTTCATATGAAATTAGATGTCAATCTCTTTTAACCAACTCATGATTAATTTTTTGGGGCTATATTGCAATTTATATTTCTCAGTCTATCTGAAACCAACCCATAATCTAGGATTCAAAATTCTTGTCATAATGATTTAAAGCTATAAAAACATTTCTTATGATAATGGAAAATTCATATTCTTTTTTTCATGAAGACTCAGACTTCAGTTTATATATAAGAGTTCACATGTTTGTGAAATTATCTCTTCACTGCTCAGCATATCCTTTCTTGTGGCTAACAGGTTATGAGGAGCCAATAGAAGAGAATATATGTAGCTCAGGGTTGAACTGTACAGTCCCTGGTGCTCTCTGAGCTTGGTTGCTTGCGGATGTTTCATTACCCAACTAGGTAACATCTTCAGTGCTAGTGCGTGTGGGGTTTTCTCCCTATTCATATGCAGTTGCTTGCCCTGCCAGTGTTGGTGGAGGTGTGGTTTTTTTCTCCTTGGTAGTCCCTTGATTGGGGTATTGTTTTCTGCTTGTTTGTCTGGTGTGAATCCCTGCTTATCTGGGTGTAGGCTGCTGGAGAGGATGTGTTCTGGTCTTTTTGTTTCCTTCTGGTGTGAATCCCTGCTTATCTGGGTGTAGGCTGCTGGAGAGGATGTGTTCTGGTCTTTTTGTTTCCTTCTCAGCTTTCTTATTGTCTCTTTTGAATGGTCTGTAAATGTGACTTATCTCTATTTGTCTATTGATGGCTGATTTGTCTGAATGCCAGGCTTCCAGGAATTTCCTAGTGTTTTTGGATTTACCTTGGTCCAGGATGCCCACAATTTCCCAGTTGAAACTATGGTTCAGTCTGTCCATGTGTTGTGAGATTAAGGAGTTTTCATTGTG